TAGGGAACAATTTCAAGAGGTGTAACGGAGCATTCTCACTTTGCTTAACACCAGATAGAAATTGGGCCCTGGTGGTGTGTCTGCAATTCCTGATCTTAAAAGTTGTATTCAAGGCCTGTCCCTTATGGAGTGCAGTCAAGGCCACAGCTTCTCTGGAGTCGATCCAAGTCTTTTGGTTGGTTTGGGAGGAGCAGGGATCTCCTCTATGCAAAGGATCAGATCTGTCACTGAGCTACGGCCTCTCCCTTATCCTAGAAACGCCCCCCTCCCCATCCATGTGCCCAATGCTTCTCATGTCTCTGTAAGTCAACGCAAGGCACTCTGTTCATGCTCAGAGATAGCAGTGAGATACGATTCTGGAAGTGGGATCATGCAACCTACTTAGAGATGTAAAATTTCCGGAAATTTTGAAGCTAGGGGGGGGGAAACCATTTTTTCCCCCAGAAAAAAATGAAAATTTTCAGGAAAAATTTGTCTTTTCTAGATTGAAAGTCATTCTGTTATTTTAGGAACATAAAATATGACTATGGACATTTTTACTTGGTATGAAATTATCACAACTAGCATATTAAAAATATAGTGTATCCAAACAATTATTACAAAAAGGATACCCACCCACATGCAAAAACAAAACTGAAACTTTTTAATTTTCTTCTGACAATTGCACCTCCTATAGGAAGAAATGCATCTTGTTTTTGCATTGAGAGTTCAGTTTGTAACCTAGGACTTGCTTGTCCTCAGTGCACAGAAATTAGATCAATCTGATACCATATTGAACACTTTGTCTTAAAATATTTTATTCATCATGTTAAAATAAAACATTCCATAATTAATTTCTTTTCTTTTCTCAATTTTTCCAAAAAACCCAAAAAGGCTTCAGGAAAAGAACGTTTTTTCCCCATTTTTTCCCGGGCCTTCACATCTCTAAACCTACTACTACTATACAACCCCCCCCCCCCCCCCCCCAAAAGGCTTTGAGATCCATTTACTGGCAAAATGACTCACGGCACAGAATGGTGCCAGTTCATAATCACCAGCAGCATTACATGAAGGGGGGGGGGGGGGGGGGGGGGGCTCTCTTGGGGGCCCCTGAGGGAGCTCAACTAAGGGGAGACAGAGGTGAAAGGCACCCCTCCTCTCTCTCAGACGGGTGGGTTGGGGGTCCCCCGTCCCCTCTAGCAGACGTTTTACCTGCAGAGATCAGGAAGGGAACCTCTTCCAGACCTGGAGGGAAACCAGGTCCCCTCCTGCTCCTTGCTACAAATCCATCCCCAGTTTAAGGGTCCAGAACTGGCAACCCTCCTCGGGAGCAGAGAAGTCGCCAGCCTGACTCCCCCCTCCCTGCACGTGGTGGGACCCAGAGAGACCCCCTTGCAGGGCTGCCCAGCCTCCGG